CCGCTGATCCTCCGTCTGTCCCTTCTCCATTCACCTCCCTCCTTGGAGCACCGAAGATCGAGACGTGAGACTTGTTATGCTGCTGCCTGAAGAAGCATCCGATGATTTCTGGGGCCCTGCCTGGAACTCCCGAGGTTTCTGGACCGCTGGTGACCTCCGCATGGAGAAATCGAGGCACCTGCCTCCCTCCCTTACTCCCCCTCTCCCTCCCCCGCCTCTGCTCACCAGCCTCCATTCATCCCCTTACTACCTAACATGTCGTTGCACCACCAAATGCGTCGGCTGAGTAGTTTGGGCGTGTTGCTTTGTTGGCTTCGGTGCACTTTCTGGTTTGACAGCCTGCGACTTCCAAACGTTGCGCAGATACTTAGCGGGCGGTGCTCAACCTACGGTCAGGAGTTTTTGCTGTTTGATAGCGTGTCGCTCCGCCAGTCCTGGCCCACGACGCTTCGGTGAGACACGCTATCCACTTCGCGGTCCCGAGGCGTCAATGTCTCGAGTCTGATTGCAAGCAGTGAGGAACTCAGACATGAGGAAAGTTCAGATAGCGCGCACACACACACTCACGTAACAAGCCAGCCTTGAAAACGTCAGGACCCATCCGACATGTCTCCTCCTCATGCTCGCGTCATCCTTTCACTCCTTGTCCAGAGAGCGTCTTGAAACATGATCTAAGAGTTCCGACTCTTCTTCTCTGTGGAGCTAGCTATGCGTGCCTCCCCCCTTCACACTGATCTGCCACTCGACGTGGCAGGCGCTGCGGTGGCAGGTTAGATTACCGCGAGCCGCAGGAGGCCTCGGTCTACACGAGTCATCATGCGTCCACGGAGGCCCCTGGAGGTACTCCGAGGCCAATGTACACAGAAGCGATTCAAGTGTTCCATCCTGGATCCTCGCTGTTCTCCTCGGTCCTGCCCGATCCGCTGGCCCTCCTCCTGCAGGCCCCTCTGCGGCGGCGGGGTGGCGAGGAGGAGGAGAAGGAGGAGGAGGAGGTAGGAGGGAGGAGGAGGTGGTAGGAGGTAGGAGTAGGAGGAGGTAGGAGGTAGGATGAGATGTCGGAGGAGGAGGAGGAGGAGGAGAAGGAGGAGGAGGAGGAGGAGGAGGAGGTAGGAGGAGGAGGAGGAGGAGGAGGGGTGGCAAGGCCCGCGCAGCATCGGCCCTGGACCCCGCACGAGGGCCATCCTGGCCAGCTTTCGGCGCCGCGTCTGGCCGCGGCGACGAACACCAGACCTGCTGGCGGCGGCGGCGGCAGCTTCGGTGGCGTCGCTGGGGCACCCCGGAGGGCCCCAGGAACCGACATCGAAGCAACAACTGCCGGATGTGACATCTCTCTCCGCGTCGTCGGAGTTCAGGGATCGTCGTCGACGTCGGCATCGGCCTCGCGGGGAGGAGAAGGACGAGGAGGTGGAGGAGGAGTGGACGAATTCGGGGGAGGGGGAGGAGGAGGACGGGAAAACTGAGGAGGCTGAGGAGGAGGTGGAGGAAGAGTGGAAGAGGGAGGAGGAGGAGGAGGAGGAGGAGGAAGAAGAAGAGGAGGAGGAGGAGAAGGAGAAGGAGGAGCTCGACGACGACGAATCCGAAGACGAGGACGACGATGATGATGATGATGATGATGGTGATGATGATGATGATGATGGTGATGATGGTGATGGTGATGAAGATGAAGATGCTGATGATGATGATGATGATGATGATGTTGATGATGGTGATGATGATGCTGATGATGCTCATGATGCTGATGATGCTGATAATGATTATGATTTAGCTCTGCTTAGAGCTCATAGAATGGGCTCCAGCTGAAGAGATGCGACATATATCAGATTTACATCAACACATATATATATATATATATATTGTATATATGTTATCTGTGTGACATATCGAATATATATATATATATATATATATATTAGTATATATATATAAAGTCATATATATATAACTGTATAAATATACAACTAAACAACATACATACATTATATTATATATACATAATACATATATATACACGCAATTTGCTACTTACACCTTTGTATACACACGTATGTACAAAAACCATCGAGCCGATATCACCCTCCCCGACTTACGAACACGACCTATTGGAAACCGCAGTCGGCCAAATGTAGGATCACATTCGATCCTCTATCCACCCGCCCCACCTACATCCTACCATACATTGTGCTAGCATGTTGCGCACTACGGTCGGCCCAGACTGGTAGGTCGACCCTGCCAAACCAAGGGTGCCCTTGTGCCCTGTGTCTCGCGACCCATGCTTCCTACATTCCACATTCCTGTGGGAATGTGGCCCTCGGAAGGGTCTTGTGTCCTCTCGCGTGTCCTGTCCAATCGAGTTCGACTGTACCTAGACTCCCCAGACATCTTCCGTAGCCGTTCTGGCTTCAGATCGGGCTTCGTTTTGGCGTTGGTCTCGCACTTCAGCCAGTGCCCCGACTGCGATGGCGTCGGCTGCCCAGCAGCCTCGGATGCGGTCGCGGAGCCCGAGATTACGATTGCCGAGGACTCCAAATGAAGAGGACGAGATGAGCCCATTCAGCCCGCCGTTCAGTCCCGTCAGCCCGTGGACACCACCAGGCGATGTTGCTGACGATGCTGATGTTGCTCCAGTGGCCACCGCTGCGACGCAGACAGATGCTCCAGTGGCCGATGCTGCGACGCAGACAGATGCTCCAGTGGCCGACGGCATCGTGCAGGGCGGCATCGTGCAGGGCGGCATCGTGGATGGCGGCATCGACGGCGGCATCATCGCCGACGACGACTTCCTTGGCCCAGCGCCGAGTTGCCCGCAGGCGAGGTCGAGTGCACCGATGACGCCTGAGCCGTCGCAGCATCCTAGGCCAGGCCCGTCCGTCTACAAGACTGGCCAGCGCCCGCGCCAGTTGGCGAATGTCACGTTCGGCGCCGTGCACACCCGCACAGTCACTAATATGCGGCTCGCAGAGCTCACCCTGTATAAAGCAGGTTCGACGGTGGAGTGCGAAGGAGGTTGCAACAGGCGCCACCCTAGGAGTTTCGGGCAGCAGATGCCGCATGATTTGCGCTCGTTCTTTTCAGCCAGCGTTTTTGCTCGAGATGCATGGGTGTGCAATAATTGTGTTCATGATTATGTAATGTCTCTTTTCGGGGCCTCCCCGATGTCCCCTGAGTTGCGCGATTACCACTTTCGCCAGTTTCACAGGGTCGCATCTTTTGAGCCCTTTCCCGAGGAATTCTAAGCACTAAGTTCTGCACGTGCGCACAGGCGCAGTGCGAAGCCAGTGAGATCACTTGGCATCGCTCGGACGCGTGCATGTTTTTTTCGGCGTGGATTTTTGAGGGGCATCCTGGATCATCCGGCGACAAAAAACAAAACGCACGAAACCGAAACAAGAACACAAGGAATGGAATGCACGTCCGAGCGATGGCCAGATCATGATCTGCTGGGCGCTGTGGCGCAGGGCACCGCGAGACCAACTGCCCCCTTGCCGCGCCTTCCCTGAGAGTATGACGACTCAGTCTCCCCAACCTTTCGCCCTCCCACCCTCTCGCCCATCGCTCCAGTCTCAAAGCCTTGGTCGAATCGGCATGCCTTTGTTTCGTTAATCCCTGGGGCCTGAGATCCACTCAGCATTCGGCCCCACGGGCGTTTAGAATTCAGGTCTATAAGGGCCTAGGGCCTTTGAAGTTTCTTCCGGATGGCATCGCCGACATCCGACATCGGAATCGTATGCGCGTCTGCGCGATTGTGTTGCATGAGTCGTTTGTTAGTCTCGTGGTATCGCAAGCAGTCGTACCCGTTGTAAAGTTGTAGTGTGCGGGTGCAGGGGCTGCCGAGGTGGCGTCGTGATTTAACAATAAAAAACAAAAAAGAGCAATCCGCATCGTCGTATCGTCATCTCGCCATTGAGTCATATCGATCCATTTGACTACCTACCAGACCACACCAACCCAACCCGAAGACCCGAATTTCGGGTTGGAGGGGCGCATGGGCTCCATGTGTTTGTTCGATGTTCCCGGCCCCCCCCCCCCCCCCAGTGGTAATGGAGGGCAAATTGAGGCCTTCGGGTTGGGTAGGGGTGGTTTGGTGGGTGGTGACCATCTGCCCCTCGCGTCACATCGCTCCGAGTCGCATCAGTTCGTCAGGTTGCTATCCTGCTATCCTCTCAGTCGTCAGCCCGTCAGCTCATCACTGTGCCGCCGCCAATCGGTCGCGCGTCGCCTGGTCGTGGAGTCGCGGGCCCCCGTCATGGGCTCATATGCGCCCCGCCGCCTCGCCATCTCGCCATCTCCCGGTAGCTCGGTGGGGTTCTTGGGGTTCTCAGGTGCTCATGTTCTTGACATCTTGTGGATTCTTGGGGCATCATATATCTGATATCTGGCAATCGTTTGGTCACTTGGGTTCAGGCGCCGCCACCTCGAAAGGCGAGCGGCATGGCCACCTGGCAGGTCAGCTCGGAGCCGGGTGGGCGAGGCAACCCCAGCACATTGTCTGCGGTTCGATGATGGTTCGTCGCCGTCAGAGCGTTCGGAATGATATCATGGCGTTTACGCTAAGTTTGCACGAGTGCGTGACAGTCTGCTCGTTGTGGTTGCAAACATCGCGATCTGAAGGAATTGGCATTGGGCATTGGGGTGATTTCGGGCAGATGTTGTTGAACGCACAACGGTTGCACATGCTTTGGACGATTTGAGCGGAAATCGTGTCCGACAGGTTTGGCGACAAAAACGCCACATGGGGCATTCCTGGACACCGTGAGCCACTCCTGGGCAATGCTCGCCACTCCTCGCCACTGACTCGCTACTGCTTGCGTTCCTTGCGAGGTGCGATTTGGGGCTCGCGTGCCAGTTCCTAGCCCGAGCCCTTGACGTTCCCACTGCGTTGTTCGCAGGCCGCACTTCTGCGTTCGATTTTGGAGCGGCGGGGGAGGGGCGGGCGCGTGTTCCCGGGTAGTTTTGGGGGCGGGGGTCGAATCGCAAAAGCAAATCGCGGCGCAACGCCGCGT